GGAGGGTGCCGACGCCGCCGGCACCCCGAAGGCAGCTGCCGCTGCCCCGGGAGCGACTGCCACCAGCACTGCCAAGACGCCCAAGACGCCCAAGGCGGCTGCGGCATCCGCCACCAAGGCCAGGGCCGCCACACCGAAGGTCGGCGCCCTGGTGGCCGGCGCCTCGGCCACCAAGGGCGCCGCGGCTGGCAAGGCGGCCCCGGCAGGCGGCCCCAAGGCCAAGGCCAAGCCCTTGTCTGAGGCGGCCATCGCGGCGGCGGCCGACACGGCGACCAAGCCCGCCGCCGCTGGCAAGCCTGCCCCCCCGGTCAAGGCCGCCACCACCGCCAAGGGTGCCAAGAAGGCGCCTGCGGCCGGGGCGTCCGAGTCGCCGGTCCCCGAGTCGCCGGCCGCCGGCAAGAAGGCCCCGGCCGCCGGCAACGGCACTAAGAAGGCCGGGGCCAAGACCGCGGCCAATGCGTCGGGCGAGGGTGCCGAGGGTGCTGCTCCGGTGGCGGCGACTGGCGCCGGCGGCTCTGCCACCGTCACGCCAGCCAAGAAGCCCGCCGGCAAGGGCGGCGTTGTTGCCATGGCGGCGGCGGCGGCGGCGGCGGGCAAGCCCTCATCGGCGGCCGCTGGTGGTGTGCCCACCCCCGGTGCCAAGGCCAAGACCGCCGCCGGCAGCAAGGTTACTTCCCCGGGCGCCGCCGCCGCCGCCGCCGCCGCCGGTGGCGGGAAGGCCGCCTCTGGCGGTGGCATCACGCCAAAGAAGGCCGCCGGGAAGGCGACCACCACCGGCAAGGCGTCCGGCGCTGCGGGCGGCAAGGCCCTCTCGGCGGCGGGGCTGCCCTCCCTGACGGGGGTCTCGGCCTCTGACAAGGGGCCTCTCCCGCCGTTGGGGGATCTGCCCGCCCTGTCGGGCGGTTCGGCGTCCGGCGCTGGTCTGGGTCTGGGTCTGCCGCTGCCGGATCTGGTGGCGCCGCTGCCCTCGACGGCCCAGCCGGCCAAGCAGCCGTCGAAGGCCGGAGCCAAGACCCCTGCTCCCCCCTCCAAGACGACTGGCGGCCCGAGTGCGGTTGTCACCACCAACGTCGCCACCGGGCCCGCGGGTGTATCCAAGGCCGCCCCCTCGGCGGCTGGTGCCGACACCAAGTCCCCCTCGGGGTCGGCGACGGGCGCCCCCGCCGCTGCTCCTGCCTCGGGTGCGTCCCTCCTTCCCCTTCCCACGTAGATCGGGACTCCATCCTTGCCCTGTGGGGCCCTCCTTCCTCTTTCTCCCTTCTCCCCCTCTCGCCTCGTTTTTGTGCGCGTGGTTCTCTCTCTCTCTCTCTCTCTCTCCCTCCCTGTGTGTGTATGTGTGTCCTGCGTGCAGGGTGGCGGCCGGGGAAGCAGGGGGAAGCGCGACGTGTGATGTGTGTGTGTATGTGTGTGTGTGTGTGT